GTTATGTGCTCTCTAAGCGGCCCCGCCCCCAGCAACCGTTACCGGCAACCGTTACCGTCAACCTATGGCCGTTCCCTAATAGACCTTGGTGAGAGCTGCCTAGGCAATTGATTTTGCCACATTTATTTATTGCCTACTTCGTTTTGAAGAAGCCAAGTCAAGTCGGAAGAGAGCAGTTCGACAAGAACGGTTTGATGCAATGCATTGTTCACTCGATCTTTCACATTCGCATCGCTATTGGTTGAATCTGTGGACTAACCAATACGAAGTGGATGAATCGGATTAAGCGGATCTAGAGGGAGGAATAAGTGTAGCGCGTGTCTAAAATTTGATAATCTTGGTACTGCTTTCAGATTCAACCCTAGAAGTATCGACGTATATTCGCAATATGAAGCGGCCAAACGACATGAATTTCTGCGTTACCGTCAAGAATCATACCATGCTTATTCTCAGTGGGGGATTTCCAAGAGATTCATTTGCCGGGATGATCACTTCCGATGTAGGACTCGTACTAACGGGAAGATCACCATCCTGAAAAAAAAATACTATCGGTGAAGATTTTTCGTGAGCGAAACGGAAGCACTGTGCTGAGAGAATTCAGCACTCATCAAAAACCTTCCACGTTGCCCGGCGCGACAACGACCAAAATTCCCGAAAATTTGAGTCAGAGAAAGGAACTGCTACGGCTGCGATCAGCAGCGGCAAACAACGCAAGTTCCTTCCAACTTACCAAGCTCCGATTGGAAGTGGAAAGCGCAGTCCTCATCATAGAGGGATTAGACGTTCGGAGGCTGGCACTGGATACATGCGCTGTTATCAGTCCGCTGTTGGCACTGGAAACACCAGCGCGCTGCAATCACATCAAGAGTTACTATTTGAATCATATACGATACCAAAAGTTGCAGAGGCACAATGGGCTGTCTTTACAGAAGCTTGGACGACTACGGTAACATGACAAAAAACTTACCAAGTCTTCCTGGGAAATCGGCAGCGCTGTCGTCAGCATAGGGGTAGATGCGTGAAGTGCAGCACTGGAAGCCTCAACCAGTGGTCCATCCGCAAGCTGCAAGATCAGCTATCAAATCTGTCGTCTGCCTTATTCTCCAGACATACAAGTCTTTGTTGGGAAGTAAACGGACTACTTCTTGGCAGTTTAGTGTTGGATGAGTGAAGACTAGCCTCAGATGCGCAAAGCATCGTAGGACGTTCGTCGTAAGCAACATCGGAAGCGCTTGAGGGCTGAAGAATGGAGATACAAAATATTTGCCAAGCAATGATTACTTACTATTCTCTGCCGCGAGGTGGATTGAGCAGTTCTCAAGGACGAAATACTTGGTGCTTTCAGGCTCACGCTGGACATCCGGAAACTCTGAGGATTCTCGTGATTGTAGAGGTCGTTAATAGCAGTAGAGGAGCATGTTCGCTGAAGAAATCAATTCAAATGGTAGAGGAAGGTGTGCCTCTGGAAATTACCATGCTTTGTCGGGAAGCAGATCGTGCAGTCCTTGTCAGTGGTGGATTCGCAGTCTCGTTGTCGCTAGGGAAGTTAGCAGGCTGTGCAGGCAGCTCGTTGCAGACACTGTAGCTACCCGAGTGCTAAAAGCCTTTCAAGAATAGAGGAGAAGATTAGCAGAAGTAAAGAGATCAAGAACATGGACTCAAAGTAGACCAAAATTTGTAATTGTGAAAGTTCAAAAATCCCCATAGCTTACCATAGAAACCGAAGTATGTATATTAGAGCTAGACTTATACAATGGTTGGACACCCTCTTCGCAAACAACAGCGCAACTGCTTGAGCCCTACAAAAACAGTCTTTACCTTTTGCGAAAAAAAAAAGAAGTTGCATATTACCATGTTTTGGTATGAATTCGATTTTGCAGTCGACTCTGAGACACCAACAATCTCATGGAGTTGCGGATTGCTTGTTTCGACATTACTATTTGAATGCTGTAAGGACAAACATGGATTACACTAGTTTCCGATTACCACAAGCTCACGTACAAGACTGTGCTGAGAAGCAGATTGGATCACTATTGCTGGAGTGGATGTGTACAAGCCATACTGAGGATTTCTTGGTTCATCGCAAGCAAGCGCATTCGTTTCCTTTACAAAAGCACATGTTTCGCTTTTATTTCAGGTTACAACTCACAAGATCTTGATGCGAAGAAGACTGTGCAGTTCCAAGCACGTCTCTGACTTCCTGTGAAGATGAAGATAACAGTAGCGGTTGCGTCAAGGGCACACCGGCAATATTCGAAGCGCTCGACCGCTAAATATCATGATACCGCTGTACGCCTATTATAGTTGGAAGCGAATATTCGCGTTCGAATAATTTAATCGAAATATTCAACTATTCGAATATTCGAATAATCGAATATTCGCGGAGCCCAATTATTCGATTATTCGAATAGTCGAATAAATAGA